TGGTCCCGCCCCCCGCCGCGCGACCATCGGCTTCCCTTTCCGTCACTCACGGGCTCCCCGTCAGCTCATTGGTGCAGGTCGGGTGACGTCGGCACAGGGCGCTCCGCCGCGGAGGCGGCGCAGGGCCAGACGGGCTTGGCTAGGGAGCAGGAAGCGCCGCCTGGGCGCGTCGCGGAGGCCTGGCTCCCCTGGGATCCCGCGGGTTCTGAGCCTGCCGCCGGCTTGTCTCGCGCGCTCCGCCGAGGGCGCTTGGGTCCCCGCGGAAAACCCCAGCTCCCACGCTTCTTACCGTCTTGGAGGAGTTACTGAAGCTGTGTCCCCACTTTCTTCCTCTTGAAACGGGAAATGAGTTCTTCCTCCCAAGGCCCTGCAGCCTCAGGACTGCTGGTCCTCTTCGGAACAGAGCCGTCCAGCATGCTTTCAGGCCCCAGTCACGACCCCTAGATGCTACACTTCTCTCCTGATGGGAAGGCCACCCACTCACTTTCCATTCTCAGTGCTTATTTTTGCTGCCACCTTCCAGACAGAACCTTTATACTTTCCACGGCCAAACGTACAGAACTCAAACCTCAGTGGCCTCTGACGCCCTCCTTTCGACCCTCCTGAAAGCCTCCGTCTCTGATCTGTCTCCTCAGGAGTCACTTCCAAGCTGTCCTCTGCTGTGTGTACCCGCCCGTCATCACTGAAGTAGAATGCTGTCTCCTCCACCCGGGCCCCACCCCTAGCTGTCTCCAACTTCGTTCACTTGGCTTCCATTCAGTGAAACTGCGTCTGCTGGTCACATCTGCCATTGTCTTCTGCACTAACCGAGGCCAGAGGACATTTTGCTTCCCATGCTACCTCATCTCAAAATTTCTTCTTCCTTCTTGTCTTCTCTAGGCCTACTGCCTTTCCATGCTCCTGTTTTAACCCCGAGCTCTTGGCTGGCTTGCCTGCCCTGGATTGTCTCTAAGAGTTTTAAAGGTCTCATCCTTTTCTCTTCACAAAATTTCCTGTATGTTTTAATTGCTGTCAACACTCCAATCAATATTTTCAGATTTACACCTTTGTTTCTTGCTGTCTCTGAGTTCAAATCCGTTTATCTAGTTCCCTATTTAGTTTCCCCTTGTATATATCACCACATCTCAAGTGGCAGAACATCCAACACGCTTGCTCTGCTTTCCTGCTGCACAGGGCACCACCATCGATTTCCCAAAGTCTGCCTCAGTCCTGGCTGTTGGCATATATTTAAATGCGTGCATATAAAAGATATTTATTGGATGGAGATGAAGAGAGAGGGAGGGAAGGAGAGAGACACACAGACAGACATGGTTGGGGGAGGCATTGCCCCAACAAAGAAAAAGGAAAGAGCAGAGAGGAGCAAAAGAGCAAGAGAGAGAGAGAGAGAGAGAGAGAGAGAGAGAGAGAGAGGCAGGCCGGCCACTAAGTACCTGGCCCGTATGATGTCACAGGACGCAGGTACTGACATAGGATATTGTCAGGACCCTAAAGGTCCCTAAGAGAAGGCCAGTTGAATTGCCTGCACAACATAACATTCCTCTCTTTTTGTTTAAAAAAAAAAGAGAGAGCTAGCGGGTGGGGGTGAGTGAAAGTGCAGGTCTGGCTTGATGAAGCCTACGAGGTCAGACTGGAACAGCTGTGGGTATCTGTTTTGGTGATGTCTTGGATGAGGAAACACCTGGCAAGATACTGGAACATGGGCAGAAGACAAAGTAGGTTAAGGAGAAAAAAACATCACTGTATATTTGAAACTCTTGGGAGAGCGAGAAGGGATAGACAGTTTGAAGCAAAAAAGAGAAAAAATAGAACATAGGGAACCTCCATTTACCTGATCGCTGGCAATAATTCAAAAGGTTTTGCTTTGAATCTGTCATCTAAGGGATACTGAGGCTAGGTTTGGTTGCAGAAGGGTGTAAGCTTAGAGGCCCTTAAAACAGGCTCTAGGTGTAGGGATGAGCCATTATCTAGAAGGCATCCTAGAAGAGGGCCTGAGAGTGGAAGACACAGTTCCCGTGAGTGAAGAGAGAGAAAAGTAAATCAGTTCTGCCAGACTTTGGGGTGTCCCCTCAAAGCACAGGAGAAACAGAGACTCGGGGGCACAAGCTGGCAGAGCAGGTTGTCAAGAGCTGTGCCGGGGCCACACATGAGACTTCTGAGGGACACAGCCTTACATAGTACTAGAATTTTCTGACGTTAGAGAAAAGGAAAGCTGAGAGACCGTGCCAGTAAAAAGAAGATTATTCACCCAAGGGAAGGCGTCCGTGCGAAGGCCGTGAGAAGGACTAACTGTAGCCTGGAAGGCTGTGGTGGTGAGGGTTAGCTCCGTTGCCCGGTGAGCCTAAGAGAGACCATGTAGTACTTACCTGGAGCGCAGCTGACCTGAGAGGTAGATTCAAGTGGATTTTCTGCAGTTTACAAGAATCCCTTTTAGTTTTACAAAGGAGATAAAACTTTAGCTGTGTTAGCATCACCATTGTAATCTGTAGTGAAATATATATTGTAGAAAAGGCAGTAGATATACTTCTGTGTTAATAGCATAAACACTCTTTAAGGTGAGCTCTGGAAAGGCAGAAGCCTTTTGTGAAGTAGAAGGGGCAAAAGCTCATTTGATCTTTTAGTATGATACAGATTATGGAAGGGAGTCTTAAAAAAACTTTTTTAAGTCTGTACTTAAAAGATAAACCAAAGGAAATTTAAAATCTTGAGCTTGGAACCATGACAATGGGCCACATAGTGGGATTTTTTTTTTTTATTAGAGTTAGATTTATAAATTAGAGCTCTAGTGATAAATGTCAGTGCTCTGGACAATTAATACAATGGTAGCACAGCAAGAAGAAGAAATTTGAAGTATTTTTATTTACTTAGGATACCTTAAATTATCTCAGACCTTCCAACCTTTATAACTTGCATCAATCTTAAAACATCTTCTTAGACCCTTAAACATTTATAACTTGCATTTACCAATTTTAAAACACATTCTTAGCTCTCAAACATTCATAACTTGTATTTACCAACCTTGAAACATTTTCCTAGACCCTCAAACATTTTCTTAGAAGTTTCATAACTTAAATTTTTGTATCTTTTGGCCTTTGTATGTGATTATTTACCATGAGACATAGGTGAGACTGCTGTGAAGATCTATTGTCCTTTAGCTAAAGGTGTTGGGATCCGTAAGCAGGCATCTCTACGGCCAGCCCTGAGGGACCTGACAAACCAGACATCAGGCATCTGTGAAGCCACCTATGGACCACCTGAAACCACCTGCGCATGTTCTGGGTCACCTTATAAGAGAACTCGCACCACCTCCAATCTCTCTCTTTCTCTCCAGCCCTGCCCAGAGACAGTTTCTGTACCCCTTCCCCTGTTCCCTTAATAAACCTCCCACGTGGAACCAGTCCTGTGTTGTGATTTGTGAACCCGCCTTGTAACTTTGTTACACAATCCTAACAAAATGAGTGGTAAAATGTTACATCTGAGACCTGCTTTTTGAGTCTGGTAACAAAGTAGACTGCGTCTAGATCTGACAGTAGCATATCTAGGAGTGAGAATTAAGGCCTGGTATCCTGCGTATCAAGAGGACTAAGAAGGCACCTGAAGTCTCCAAAGATAGAAGTTGGCAATATGCCCGTGAGACCCAAGTGTGAGCTTAAAAGAGACCTTCAGTGTTACCCTAGGCTGGGTGGGGCTGGTGGAGGTCGCTGAGTCTAGGAGCCACTTGTCCTCTGCCAGGCCAAGGAGCTCAAAGGCTGGAAGTATCTGTGGCACTTGTGCTGGTTGACTCCTCCATGGTTAAGCACAGAGGCCAAGCCTGAATGGGAGCATTTTGACTTCCAGAGGCCAGTCTGCCAGCAGGCAGGTATGGCTTGTTGAGGCAGTTGCGGGACCAGTGTGGGTCTAACAAATTGTCCAGGTCCTGATTACTGTGTCTCTACCTTTGTTGGCCTCCTGCAACTGACTAGTTGTTAGAAATAGAAGTTAAAAAACAAACAAAACATTTGGGTAAATTAGTAACCATTTTGTGTGACTTGGAATAATGAAACCCCTGTGAGATAAAAATTGGCCACCAGGTATCGGAGCTGGAACATCTGGCAGCTCAAATACAAGCCAAGCCCAGGACTGGCCTTAATATGTTAATGAACTACTCCCAAAGTGGTTAATTGGCATGCCGGTCAAATAGCCCCAAGCCAGCTAGCCTGAAACTGCCCCAGTGTTGAACCACAGGTTAGGTCTCTCTCTACTTGCTGCAGGGTGTGGCTACCTGCCCTACCTTGGGGTGAGACTTCCCTTCTCCTAGAGGCCTTCACTGCACAACCCGGACAGTTTGGTTTCTCCTGCCCTTTGCCCTTTGCCCTTTCCTCTCTGCCCCTTCACTCCCCCCCCCCGCATGCTCTCTCTCCTCCTCCTTCTCCTTCTCTCCTTTCTCTCTGTAGGTGCTTTTCCTCCCCACATGCTTCTTTCAGTAAACCTGTATTTGTATAATATAGTTTTGTCTCACCATTAGCTCGTTCCGTTTTATTTACTCAGTCAATCAGAAAATTGGAAGATTGGGAATGGTCTCTAGCACCACACTGTCATGCTCCAGAGACATAACAGTCTCTAG